CTATTCTTTTTATAATAGTGGGACCATAAAGTATTTGTCTTTTGTGATTGACTTGTTTCACTCAGCATGTCCTCCAGATTCATCCATGTCATGTTTCACGGATTCATTATTTATAGTTCTATAGTACGTAAATTTCTTTTTACATATCTGTTCCTGAAGCTGCCTCATCAGGTGCCACTGAGCATATCTGATCATTAAAGCAGAGTGTTCCAAAACAAATTAAAAAAAAATTTCTTTATATAATCTTTAGATGTATAATAATCTTTTCATTTACTATTCTTATGGAAGGTGATTCACTTAAAAATAATGGATCCTACCCCCATACACACATACATACCAATTCAGCTTTATCTTCTCACTACAGAGTGTTCCATTTTTGTCTGAACCCCATATTTTTGAGACCCTGAATTCCAGAATAATGGACTTGATGTAGTCAATGATTGTTCAGCTTTATACTTCTCGGGATTAAACATGGAAGAAAAATTGGGTAGCTAGCATCTTAATAGTGCAGGTGCCAAATAACTTACTGTTTTGAATACAGCTATGACCCTAGAAATGAAATCTTATACTTGCAGCTATCAGATTAATGTGTAGAAGTTAGAGGCACTAATCTTGGTTTTTTTCTAGCATAAAAACTTTGGTTACTTAATAGGATCTGATGATTATTAAAGGTTGAGGTTCCTACATGAAGCTTGTTTCAAAATGTTAGTCTCTTATGAACTTAACCTCATTCTGTAGACTGCTTCAGATCTGTCAGATGTTTGTGCTTGGAATCTAATATCCCAAAATTTCAAATTCCTCATCTAGTTGCCTATTGCCATATTGCTTGCTCCCTGAGGAGATGTGAAGAGGGAACACATCAGGTAGATGAACCAGATCCTTATCTCATATCTTATCTGGTCATGTAAACTGGATCCAGTGCAGCCTAAGACAAATAGGCCTGACCAACTTTACATGTTTATTTTCTTTCCCTTCCTCTGATCCAGCTTAACCAATTAAAATGTGGACACAGTAGCTGTAAGGCAGGGAAGAGAGAGAATCAGGAAGGAAAAGAAAACTTTGCCCTCTTTCCTCAGATGAAGTCATCTATGGAAGGAGTCAACTGGGCCTCACTTCACTTTATTCTAGGTGCATTATCAGAGTGTTTACTTTTAGTGAGGGAGTAGAAGTTGTTCATAGCAAGCCACATTCCCAAAGTTATTTTTTAAGTTAGTTAATTGAAATTCGTAATTCCTTTTCTAAAGGCAACAATGTTGGTAATGTTGGACGAATATGCAGGCTATCTTACTTAAACCAGTGTCTCAACATGTCTGTGCTGAAGGGATTGTTTTCTTTTATTTGTTCGTTTTTCACTTCCAGTATTTTTTAGAGTGATACTTTTGTAAAATACGCTGATCACATGCTTGGATGTATGGCACTGTTAAATTACCATAAAAGGTTTTTGAAGTCTTATTCTCAATTTTTTACTTGTTATTTATCTTGTGGAATGGTAACAGTTTACCTAATGACATCAGTTTGCAGACGACATTTTGAGTAACACTGCTGTAAAATATTTTCTGGAGTAGATCAATGCAAGATAATGTTTCTGACCTTTCAAAGTTGGAGTTTAGAATCAAATGTTCCATAAAAGCAAGGTAAATAATACTATTAGTACTGCAGTACAGGTAGTCCCTGAATTATTAGCAGTTCTGTTCCAATGACGCTGTTGTAAGCTGGTTCTAACGTTAAGTATTGCCTTTTATTAACAGTATCTTTATGCATCTGGTCTTTGGGGGTTGGAAACATTACATATAAACTTACAAATATGATAACATCAGCAAATTACAAGCTGCAACATTGTATGTAGTATATATTACTAATGATAAGATGTACCCAAAAAAAAAGCAGATGGTTGTAAGTGGGGTTCATCATAGCTCATTGTAAATTGAGGACTACCTGTATAATGGGCCATGATCCCTGCCCTTAAAGAGCTTATTACTCTAGGAGGACATCATTATCCTCATGAAAAGCATTTTTGTCTTTCTGTAAGACACTGCTAGTGACAGTGATACAGTCTCGGTTACATATGAGTTTATACCTCATTGTTGAGAAAGAATGTGTATGAAAAAATAGTGCCAAAGAAGTGGTAATTATAAGTGTTTATAAAGGTAAGAGGTGATCATTAAGCTTTCAGGTGGTTGGAGGTGGGGTTTTTGTAGAAGAGGGAGAGAGTACCTTGCTGGATACTTTGTTATTTTATGCAAGCCACACAAGCTTGAGAGGTAATATTCTAATTTTACAGATACCAGGTCACAGCTAATAACTGGAGCCAGAATTCTATTTCTCTACTTAAGTATTTAGTGGAGATAAAAGTATTGTAGATGACTAAACAAACATTTGGCGGTGGGGACTCCTTAGAAGGAGAAAGGGATGAAATGATACATACCAAATGGTGTTTTAGGAAAATTAACGTGCGTAGTGTGTAGGTTTAGTTGGAGCAACTAATAATAGGATAGCTTGGTGGTAACTAATGGATTATCTTCAGCATGTGGAAATTTTAGAATACTTTTCTCTGTCCTCTTATGTTTTGGAGTTTAGCTAATCCTGATTTGTAAGGTGACATTTATGGAACTATTTTTTATAGGAAAGTGCTAGCAATCTTTTTAATAAAATGTCATGTAAATTTTTCAGATGGCTGATGTGCTTTTTAAAAATCAACTTTGAGTACAACTAACATACAGTAAAATGTACCCATCTTAAGTATATAATTTGAGTTTGACGAATGTGTGCACTTGTAATCGTCACCACAGTCAAGATATAAAACATATCCTTTACCTTGAAAATTTCCTTTGTGTCCTTTTGCAGTCAGTCGTCCTAATGTACTTTTTAAAAATTATAGTTTACATACGGTCAGATTCACTTTTTTTTTTTAAATTCAGGTGAAGGCTTACAGAACTGTAGTACACATATTGTTTTATGACATTGGTTAACAACCCCACAACATGTCAACCCTCTAACTTCTCAACCTTTTTTTTTGGTGAAAATACACATAGCCAGAGATACACCATTTCAAAAATTTCTACATGCACAGTTCAGTGACATTGAGTACACTCTTCCAGTTGTGCTGCTATTCTCACTTACGATGAAGGCTTACAGAACAAAACAGTTTCTCATTTAACGGTTACTACACATGTTGCCCTATGACAATGGTTAACAGTCTCACAGCACATCAACAATATCAGATTCACTCTTTTTGGTGTGTAGTTCTGAGTTTTCAAAACGCATACAGTCAGGTAACTGCCACTGCAATCAAGATAAAGAACCCCCAAATTCCCTCATGCCCCCTTTATATAAGTCAGCCCTTCTCTCCTCCTGTTCTTGATATGCTTTTAAAATGAATTTCATTCATATCAGAAAGTGAGTAATGTAAAATCATTTATACTATATGAATTACCTGTTTTTAGGAATCCCATTGTATACCATTTTTATTTTTGTTGACAAAATTTATGTTAGTTCTTATTAGTTTTTCCCTCATTTATGTTTTCTAACTCCACTGGGATCTTCTACTGTTCCCTAGTCCTTTTGTCCTCTACTAATACCCTAGCATCCTTTATTTAAGTATACCCTTCAAGACAGTTTTTTTTAGGAGATGGTTTCATGGCTTCCCTCACTAAGAAGATAGAGACATTATTGCATCTTCTGTTGAATTATGTATTCACTTGCTTTTTATTTCTCTATCTTAGAAAAAGAGGCATCCTGGGCAAAGTTACATGGCTAATAACTTATTTATAATATGTACTAATTTCCAATCATTTCTTGCTCCTTAATACTGTCTTGCCTCATTATCCTTCTATTATCTTTCCCTTATAAAAATGTCTAAATTGTCACTATCACTTAAAAAAAAAGCAGCCTTTCCCTTTACTGATCCTTACTGCCTTTTACCTATTTACTTTCCTTCTTTTCACTAGTAAAAATTTTGAGTACGAGATCATTACTGTTTCCATTTCCTAACCGTCTATTCTCTATAAAATCAGTTGCTGTCAAGTCAGTTCCAACTCATGGTGACCCTATGTGTGTCGGAGTAGAACTGTGCTCCATAGAGTTTTCAGTGACTAATTTTTCTGGAAGTAGATCGCCAGGCTTTTCTTTCAAGGCTCCTTTGGTTGAACTCAAACCTCCAACCTTTTGGTTAGCAGCTGAGCACGTTAACCATTTGCACCACTCAGGGACTCCCTCTGTTCTATACAGTGGACTATAATCTGGTCTGTCTCTATCACACCACAGACACTATGCCTAGGAAAGTTATGAATGGCCCCTGATCAACACAGAAATTGCTCTCTTGTAGTTTAAGGGTACTATGAAAGCCTGTTGATAGTAGTTTATTCTGTACCATCTTAATAGTTTTCCCAGTGTTAGCAGATGTTATTCAAATCAAAAAGATCACTGTAGTTCATGCTTTCATTCCTTTTCCATAATTATTAAAATTAAAAGTGTAAATGACACATTGAAACTGAGTAGCTAAATTACAAATCTACAGATTTGTAATTATGTATTTCATCCCTAATTTAAGTGGAAAGTAATGGTTTTGTATCATTTGTTAGGAAGGTTGAATTTCCATAGCTTTAAAATATTGAAACATTCAAATAATTTGCATGGATTTAGCTACCCTTATAAAAATTTCCTTTTGAGAGGTGGGAAGGGAAACCTGTCCCTGTTTCATAGGCAAGACACTAAAGTTCAGTAAATTATCTTGTCTCTCACTCAGTAGTCTGTTTTTTTCTGCTTTACTCCTGGTGTGTCTGTGTTTTGTTTTTATTTTTGGGTTATATATATTTTTTAAGTGTATGGACATTATCTTTTAATAGGGAAAGCATGGAGTTATGGGCCTAAATAGTAATTAAGAATGAGAAAATCAAATATAAATTAGCTGAAGTAATTTTGATTTTAATGTTATAGTTTAAAGTCTAGGCTATTTTATCACAGAACATTAAACTGATAAAATTTTTGTTTGTTCTGTTTAGCTTGTCAGCTCATCTGCAGCTTACATTTACTGGTTTCTTCCACAAAAATGGTATGTACTTTAAAATTAAATATATCAGTCACTGAATTGTACATGTGGAAATTGTAGAATTGGTGAAGGTTTTGTTGTGTATTTTCACCATTCTAACAGCAAAATACCTCTGTGAATATTTTTAAAAATTTTAATATTCTTGGTGTAAATTTATAAAATTGTATTCAGTGTAAAGGATGTTCATTTTGATAACTTAATTTTTCTTTAGTTGACCTCTCTAGCAATTTCAGTTACTGCTTTATGTGGTCATTGATAAGATGTGGGGCATGTAACTTGCAACTCAAACTTAAAAGTAGTAGAGGATTTTGAGCAGGGAAGCAACATGACCTGGTTTAGATTTTAAAAGACCACTGTCATGTCCATGTGAAAAATACACTCTAGGGAGGCAAAAATCAACCCAGAGAGCTCTAACAGCTGGCAGGGAAATGCAGTGATCCTGGGGAGAGATAATGGTAGCTTAGACTGTGTCACATACACACACACACACACAAATACAGTGGTTCTTAAATTTTAGTGTTTATAGAAACATTTTGACAGGTTGTTTAAAATACATATTCCTGGACCCTACAAAGTCTCAGATTTAGCAGGTTTATGGGAGCTTTGGAGCTTGCATTTTAATCCAGAACCCAAAGTAATTCAGAAGCTGGTTTTCTGAGGAACAAATTTTAAGGTACTTTGCTTTTAAAAATTGCAGGTAGACTTTATACATAAGCTCTTGTTCGTAGCCCAGTTTCCTTGTTACTTTCTGCTATCCATTAAGTTTTAAGTAGATTTAGAAGTTGGTGTGTAAGAGATAGTCATCAGTGCTGTGTGTGATTATTCTTGAAGGTAAATGTTAGTTTCATCTGGCTTATATCTAAATAGATCAGATTCTAGCTTTTATCTCTAAACCACACTTTTGTAGTGCTTTACTATTATTAGAGAAAAAGCTGTATAATATTATCTTACCTTGTTCAGAGCCATCATTTTCAGGAGATAATAAATAAGTTGAAAATAGAAAAAAGTGTTTTCATAAAATTAAATTTCTTAGAATTAGCCCTTTTGGTTGGCAATTTTGTTTGAACTTTAAGTTATAAAGGCTAATGATGAAAACTTCCTTTTTTTTTTAAATTGTGCTTTAGGTGGAGGTTTACAGAGCAAATTAGTTTCTCATTAAACAATTAATAGACTTTTTTTGAGTGTGTGTGTGACATTGGTTGCCAACCCCACAACATGTCAACACTCTCCCCTTCTCGACCTTGGGTTCCCCATTTCCATTCGTCCAGCTTTCCTGTCCTCTCCTGCCTTCTTGTCCTTGCCCCTAGGCTGGTGTGCTCATTTAGTCTCATATACATGGTTGAGCACGTGTATTGTTTTGTTTTATGGGTCTGTCTAACCTTTGGCTGAAGGGTGAACCTCAGGAGTGACTTCAGTACTGAGTTAAAAGGGTGTACAGGGGTCATACTCTCAGGGTTTCTCCAGTCTGTTAGACCAGTAAGTCTGGTCTTTTTTTGTGAGTTTGAATTTTGTTCTACGCTTTCCTCTAGCTATGTTGGGGACTCTCTATTGTGATCCCTGTTAGAGCAGTCAGTTAATGATGAAAACTTTAATTGCCTTAGAACCTAGAATAGGTGAAGAATTTCCTGTTATTGCATCATATTTTTAAAAAACAGTAGTAAAACAACTGAAACAACTACTACCAATGGTATATAACAGTATGTTAGCTATTATACAAAGAAAACTCTATAGTCTTTTATTAAAAGAGCTAAAAGCACGCTAGGAAAGGTTTCAAAATAGTTAGAATGCCTCTCAGCTTGTCCATCTTAGATTTGTGTATATATCTTTTTAATGCAATGGAATAAAGCCTTAATAAGAAATAAATTGATATATTAGAAGAGTTTCATCACTTATCAGGTTTTTTAAGTAAGAAATTTGAAATCCGAACATATCTGTATTAGCAGCTGGTGTTAACTTCTAGTGTTGCTATAGATTTGGTCCCTCTTTTATATAGAAGTAACCTGGGTAGCATTTTTATGTTTTTTTCTCTCTACATTATTTATAATTGTCTTATAGCATCCTTGTGTCTAATAGTTCATCATGTTGATTGGTTTTGTGTAGTACTTCTCAAGTGCATGGACTCTCATGCTTTGAAGTTTTTAATTTGAATTCTGTAGGTTCATTAGCTCTTTGTTCCCAGGGACTTACAGAAAACATACACAAATTATGCCTTACTAAAACTATACCTTTGGAAAGTAGATTGGTTAAACTTTTTTTTTTTTTAATCTACACGACAAAATATGTAAAAATCAAAAATTCGTCAAATTCACCCAAAATTTTTTCTGGATGTTTTTGATGTCCATGATGAGAAAGTAAACTGTTGAGATTTCTGTTACCGGAAGATAATTTTTTAATTATAACTTTGAAATCAGTAAAAGTTGTAAAGAAGCAGATTTATTGCTTCTCTATCTCTTCAAGGTATATCTGTAGTTTTCTTTTTTAAGAATCAGGATAGAAAACCAACATCAAGATCCCTAAAATCTGATTTTTCTTTTGTTTTGCTGTTACTACTTGAAACTGCTTAGAATGAATGCCAAAAATTATTAGGGTACTATTTTCATGTTAAGTATTTTTCCAAGAGCATTTTTCTTATTACATTTTAGACGTTATGTTTTTGCTATATAAAAATGTTTTTATCCTGTACGCAACTTCCAGAAACACTGATTTGGAAGTGTTTTTTATGCACACACCCTGCATGAGAAGATTGTTCTTAAGTAGACAAAGTGTTGTCTAAAAGATCACAGAACCAAAATTATTTTGTTTCTTTGTGTGTTTATGGATTAATCTATTAAAGTAGTACTATTATATTTTTGAAGCTTAATGATGAATTAGTGGTTAAATACTTAAAGTTTTGAACTATTGACACCTTTGGGATTTTAAAAACAAGTGAATTATAGAGGAGTACTCTTGTACCTTAATTTGCAAAGCTTTTGTAAGCTAATTGATAGAGAGAATACAGAACTTAGAGTCGCTATGAGTCAGAATAGACTCAACTGCAGTGGGTTGGTTTTATTCAAAATCAAAATCCTTAAACTTCGTAAGCCTATAGGATTCTCCCATTTGAGCTTCAGAGAAAAGTTAAAAAACTAGCTATCTTTTTCCCTGTTATAATACTTAATGTTCTTTGAAATTACTTTTGACTAGATGTTTATTATGTTATTTTATCATAAATGTTAAATCTTCAAACCAGAAGTAATCAGTAAATAATTGAGCCTCTTATTTTAGTCAAAAGAAAATCACAGTAAGTAGAAAGGTAGTTATATTTGTCTTGTGAAAGGTTTATTTAAATGATTTTATATATAAGGACATTTATTTTAAAGAGTACGCTGAAAGTTTGGAACTGATTTGCGGAAAAAAGGAATCAGTAAACTTTTGAGAAGGCTTCATTATAGGAAGTCCTTTTAGTCTTTATTATTTGGAATTCCCAGTCTTATGAAAATGAGTACTGCATTTATACTTTTAAAAGTATGTATTTTGAAGTATTGATTTTCTATTTAGATAAGCCATCACAAAACTCAGAAAATGAACAAAATTCTGTTACCCTCGAAGTTCTGCTTGTAAAAGTTTGCCATAAAAAAAGAAAGGTAATGTATAAAGTGATTGTAGTAGATTAAGTATAATATTTTCTTAATAATCAAATATGTTGATGCATATATATTTATTACATTTCAAAGCCAATTTTAAAAACTTTAAAGCTTAAGAAATATGTTGATAGTAGACTCAAAACTGATAACCGCTTTTACCAACCGCCACAATCTTCATGTTTTTTCCTAGTCTGGCTACGTCTTTTCACAAAACGTTCTCATATAGCTGTCTGGCAATGAAGGGAAGAAGCTGTATTTTAGCATCTGATGCTGTGAATTAGGTTGCTTCCCTACCACTTTAGTCTCTTAGCTTCTTCCTTAGCTATTATGCATTACATTTTTAGATAAGGGATAAAAGAGTTTTCCCCAAAAGGATTATCTCTTCTGACACTACTTTCAGGGAAAAAATTCTTTTGCCAGCATTATTAGCCATTAACTTATTAATACATTGCTTCAAAATTTTATTTATAAAGATTACATCATTTCACCAGAGAAACAAGTGTTAAAACGGTTAAGTTTCCTGGACAACCCACCAAAGCCAACAGATATAATACTTTCAGTAGTCCCAAGTCCTTGGGTCTTTTAGGAGGAGTAGGAACTGACATATATGGAGGCTCCTATTACTGATGTTCTTCCAAAGTCATAATAAGGTGACTTGGAGCAAAAACTACTGGAGCATTGGTAGGGAGGGAGTGGGCTGTGGTGATAGGCAGCAGTGTAGCTCTACATTAAAAAGAAGTTAGGAAATACCATGGCCCATTCCTGTTCAACTCCCTTCAAGATATATTATTATTTAGAAAAAATATATAAAGTAAGTATAGTATGATCCTTTTTATGTTTTAAAAAATAGTATATAGGTATAAACATTTTCTTGGAAGAATATACACAACTGTAGTAATCATCTGTGGGGTGTAAGATGTAGAAGATGGGTGAGACGTACACTTTTCATTTTATACTCTTGTAGAGTAGATTAAAAAACACAAAGTGTTCTTTTCTGTATACTTTATTTAAAAACAAACAAGCTACCATGAGATATGAACTATATTCTCTTATTATAAAGGTCTTCTGCATCTTCCCATTCTTCTACCATGCTCTTTCAGTATAACTGGTTACTTGATAACCATATTTTTCATGAGATGATTGATATCCCTTCTGTTAAACAACATGTTTAAATGTATGAATTTACTGTTTTATAGTGTTGTCACCAGTGGGGTTATTACAACAGTTGTTTTTCATTTTTAATGGTCCCACCAGTTATTGTTATGCTAAAATAGAAAATTTAAGGTAAAACACTAAAATATTAAACCCATGTAAATTTTTTTTAGTTTTAATACCATATTTTTAATATTATAAAACTATTTCAGATGACCATCAGTTTAATATTGGATATGCTGTATCATTATTTTCATTATATTGGGAAAAACCTCAATTGCTTTAATATTTGGAATATAGTTGTACCAAATTTTCTTTTTGCTTCATGTAGTATCACACTTTTCAGAGCTATGATTAGGATATCAACATTACGTTTGGTAATTATGGTCTATACCTTGTTTCTTATAGATAAGATTAGAAGTTTTATTTTTAATTCTTAAAATTGCAGGCAAACAAATAAATGTAATTTAATAATCTTTACCTTTGCAGGATGTAAGTTGTCCAATAAGGCAAGTTCCCACAGGTAAAAAGCAGGTGCCTTTGAATCCTGACCTCAATCAAACAAAACCTGGAAATTTCCCGTCCCTTGCAGTTTCCAGTAATGAATTTGAACCTAGTAACAGCCATATGGTGAAGTCTTACTCATTGCTATTTAGAGTGACTCGTCCGGGAAGAAGAGAGTTTAATGGAATGATTAATGGAGAAACCAATGAAAATATTGGTAATTTTAATAATTTTTACTAGATTTTGTCATCAGAGATTAAGGTTGATAAAAATGGATTTAACCAGTATTTCTTTTTGAATTACTTTAAAACCTTGCCTATCCACGGAAGATAATGGTACAGTGCTAGAAATACATCGCATGCATTCTGATAGCGTGGCCTTTTTTGCAAATCTCATATAGTCTGATAAGATATTAATTTTATGGTAGATTGCCCTGCCCTTTAGACTGTTGGCTATTTTGCTGTATTAGATATTTAATCTGTAAGGTTGTCATTATTGCATAATGAAACTTACGTTTTATGTTGTAAAAATATATTGAATATTGAATGTAAACGACTGGTCTTTCAAGTTAATTTCTTAGCAAACAATGAATTTATCTTAATCCTCCCAAACATTTTACTGTGAAAAATTTCAAACATACAGAAAAGTTGAAACAGTTTAATAGTGAACACCTGCATACACACCACTTAGGTTCTACAATTAACATTTTATTATACATATTTACCACATATCGATCCCTTTATCCATCCTTCTGTTCTTCCAACAATTCTGAATTCATCTTTGAGTTAGTCCTTCACCCAACCTATAGGTACTGTACCAGGAATACAAAGATGATTAAACAACAGTGTTATCCTCGAGGCTCACAACCTAGCGTAGAGAGAGAGACATGAAATAAATAATTGCAGCAAAATGATGAGTACTGTAATTGAGGTATAAGTTCAGTGGAGAAGCACATGATTCCATGGAAGTGTCATGGAACAAATAAGCTTTGAGTCTTAAACTATCCTTTGAAGTTCTTAAGTGAAGAGGGGTTTGCCTAGCAAGGAAGATTATTCTAGACAGAAAACAGTATTTGCAAAAATGTGGGGTTAATGTCAAAGAATCTCAAAAAGTGAGGACATATACATATGGTAAAAATACAAAATTGAAAAGAGTTTGGTCTGAATATTTCAACTTTAGTATAATCTGTATCTCATTTGGAATAAATGTAGTATGTTTTATGTTAAGGGACCATATAGCATAAATAAAATTTTTGCTTGAATATTCAATTTATAAGAAATGTTTGTCAAATTCAGATGTCAACGAAGAACTTCCAGCTAGAAGAAAACGAAATCGTGAAGACGGAGAAAAGACATTTGTTGCACAAATGACGGTATTTGATAAAAACAGGTAATGTTGATGTACAGGTGTGGTTCTTGTAATCTTCTAGAAAGGTTTTAATTCTGAAGTATACTATTGGTGAAATTAAATATTTCTTTGCCTTTGTTTCTCTTTGGTTTATGGAGAAAAAAACAAATTTGTAAATCCTGGACTTTTTATCACGTAAAGAGCAGTAAACATAGATGAGGAGCTATTTGGACGACTCGGTTAAGATTGTTTATTCAGCAAGTGCTTCTGTGTGTCAGCTTTTACCCAGACATTGTTCTAGGCAGTGAGAAGGCAACAAAGTCCCTGCCTTCGTGAAGCTTAAATTCTAGTGGAGGAAGCAGTACCACCCCCAAAAAATTAAATCAACTTAGTGGAAACAGACATCACTCCCAAAAAGTTACAACAACATAGTCATAAGTGCAATGAAGACAAAGAGAATGATTACAGTTTTATGTAGAGAAAGCCTCTAGGAGCGGGTAATAGTTGAGCAGAGACTTGAATGAAGTGAGTCCCATGAGAATTTTGGGGTTATGTATTCACTAAAATTGAGGAAGAATATTGTGTGTAATCATTATTGTGTGGCTACATGTGCATTTGGCAGAGGGTAGCAGAGAACATTTGGGTTTAGAACCATCTCTTTGCAGTTTATATTTAATAAAGCATCTTAGGGCCAGTAAAACAAGTTCTAGGAAGCAACTGCACTGTTCTTTTTTGGCAGTATTTGGGGGGTTTTAAACCTGTGGCATGCCATGGTTTCTTGTCCCAGGCTGCTCACTGTCCACACAGTTCACTGTTAACCAGGTACAGGAGACAGAGCCAAGAAAAACAAATAGGACATATCTCCTACTTATTCTTTAAAAAGTATTAGATGGTTAATGTAATCACTTATTAGCCACCAGGTAAAGAAAGGTGCAAGGATTTTAACAAGAAAGCAAAGATAATTAGAAATGACATAGATTCCATCTGCTATATTGTGAATTAGAATACATCACTTAATGTTGGAGCCCTGGTGGCATAGTGGTTAAGAGCTCGGCTGCTAACCAAAAGGTCAGCAGTTAAATCCACCAGCCATTTCTTCGAAACCCTATGGGGCACTTCTGCTCTGTCCTGTAGGGTCGCTATGAGTCAGAACCAACTTGATGGCACCTAACAACAACACTTAATGTTACTGGTAGAAACGAACATAGCGTTTGTTTTTTAGAGTCAAATTTGAATGTGGGTCAGAGATTTGAATGTAAACCAACAGAATTAAAGTACTCGAAGACAGTGGTCAGTGGGGAAAGTAGTTGGGATGTGGCACACTGGGCTTCATTAGTATTGGTAAATGTTCCATTTTAGTCAGGATAGGGTACATTGTATTTTTTTAATTGTTTTCATGTATGTTAACATTCCTAACATAAGAAATACACCTTTTTATTTAATGAAAAAATACCTAGAAACCATGGGATAGTTTTCCTCCATCTTTTTATTTTTTTAATTTCAAAACCTATAAACATGTTGAAAGAATAACAGAATGAGCATACCAAACAAGCATCACCTAGATTGATCAGTTAACATTTTGCCACATTTGTGTGTGTGTGTGTGTTTTTGTTCTCAAATCACTTGACAGTTAAAGTTTACTTCATTTTTCACTCCTAAACACTTATAGCACATATGTACCAAGAACAAAGGCATTCCCCTGCATAAACCACATTACACCTATTGCACTCAGGCAACTGAACATGATACAACAGATAAAAGTCTGTCTCCTCAATTGACCATAATAATGTCCTTTATAAGCTGTTTCTCCTACTCCCCATCAGTAATTGAGAACTATAGGTAGTTGTCATATCTGTCCAGTTTCCTTCAGTTTGAAATAGTTCTCCAGACTTTCTTTTTTTACCTTTCGTGGTACTTTTTATTTTTAGTACAGACCAGTAGTTTTGCAGAATGGCTTTCAATTTGGACTTGTATCATTGTTTCCTCATGATTAGATTCAGGTTAAACATTTTTGGCAGGAAACTAATTGGCCATATGCTCTTTGTGTACAACATGACAGACACGAGATTTGATTACTTGGTTAAATTGGTGTTCACTATATTTCTCCATTGTAAAGGTACTTTTTTCCCTTTGTAATTAGTATGTAATCTTTGGTAATACCTGAAATAGGGCAAATTTCCTTTTCTCCCCAGTAGTCTTTCACTAAATGGTTTTAGAATCCATTGAAGTTTCTTGCTCGAATAAATTATTATGGTTTTTGCCAAGTGCTACCTTTATCATTTCTTCCATATTTGTTAAAGAAGAGCTTTTCTTCACTCAGCTGTACTTTTTTTTTTTTTTTAAGCATCAGCATGGATTAATGAACTCTGTGTATTCATTCTTTTGTTATCTGTTTCATGTTACTCATTTTGAGGCACAAATCGTCCTAAATTTGGCCAGGAGGAGGCCTCTAAGGAGGCTCCTGTTTCCTTTTGACTATCTGTTGTTTTTTTTTTTTTTTTTTAGTATTTCCTTATTTTCTGAAATAGTAAAATATTCCAGGCTTACCTTCTTCTTTTCCTACCTCTGCTCTGGAATTGGCCATTTCTTCAAGGCATTCTGCTTCCTTTTAGAAGGTGAATGGTATTTACAAGTCAAGATCTTAGGACTACGTGTATGAAAATTGTATCTATAATCTCAGAGAAGTTAAAACTCTTCCTATAGAATGACCAAAATTCAAAAGCCATATAGGAAAAGTATGAAATCTTTAGCAAAATTTAAAAAAAAACTTTCTCAAAAAGCAAAACCCACCATAAAGTCAAAATAAACATGACAAGTCAGGAGGAAATTATTTTCATTTCCTATTATAGACAGATGTCTTATTCCTCTAATATAAAGAAATCATACTAATTAAAAAGGGAAAGGCCACAACCCAATAGAAGAATGGGTAAAGGATGTACATAGAAAGTATATATGCTTCTTAAACAATTAAAAAGATAAGACATCTGAATTAAAGTCCACTGAGATACCATTTTTTCACTTATCAGATTGGCAGAGATCAAAAAGCTTGATAAAGCACTGTTGATGAGGCTGTGGGGAAAAAAGGCCTCCTCATACATTACAGGTAGGAGAGTAAATTGGACTGGAGCTATCAAATGTACAGCCATAAAATGGAGTATTATGTAGCCATGTAAAAGAATGAGGGAAGCTGGTTTTTAATTTAGAAGCATATGAATGTATTACTTAAATTCAGATTAGATTTTTCAAATAGAAAGTTGAGTGGCTTTGCTGATGTACTATTATAGTAGACTAAATTCAAGTAGAACAACAGAAAAGACAAAAGTTCGTAAGTCTCAATCATTTTGTTTTAAGACTCAGACTTTGGAAACAGACTACCTGGATTCATTTGCTAGTTTTGTTAACTTCCTGTGATAAGAAAGCAAGTTACTTAACTCCTCTGTGCCTCAGTTTCCTCCTCTGAAAATAGTACCTACTTCACGGAGTTGTTGGAAGATTAAATGAACTATGTAAAGTGTGAAAGCTTACAGTTAATTATTGAGCATGGTCGAAGAATGGTGTTTTGGGTAGTAGTGGTTACCAGTACTTAAAAGTGTAGAAAAATTATAAACTGTATACAGTCATGAGCCGCATAACATCCGTTTAGGCAACATCCAACCACGTATACGTCCATGGTCCCATAAAGTTACAGTAGAGTTCAGAAATCCTGATCAGAGAACAAGACATAGCGGATGTAACCGGATGTAGCGAACGCAGTAGCTTCCTGTACATAATGTGTATCTCATGTTTCTTGTATGCAAAGTGATTGCATTGCCAGGCGTATGTATAATGATACAGTACGTATAAAAACCTATAATAATACTGTATCTTGATAGTCATAATAAATGCCTATGTTACTGGCTTATGTATGTACTGTACTTTCTACTGTTATTTTAACATGAACTTTCCCTACTTAAAAAGTTTATTATGTAACAGTGTATGCTTTGACTCATAGGCAGCAGCATCCAATCTCATCTATCGCAAGTCTCTTGAATGTTTTAGCGTTTTCTCTGTTTAATTTTCTTTTAAAAATACTACTGTAATGTGCATCAAGGCTCCCAAACACAGCAAAACCAGTGCTAGGGATAGCAGCTGCAAGAGGCAAAGAGGAAGTATCAATTTGGAAGTGAAACAGAAGGTTTTTAAATAACACGAAGGTGGAAAATCAGTGAATGTTATTGCTCGCAATGTCGGCATGTTTGCACAACTTCCAAACACATAATGTCCTATTTCACAGAACATATTGTGGCCGTTAAGCGACACATGACTGTATACACACACATACATGTACACACATCGTAACTGTACCGAGTATGGATGTAAATTAATTGATGGACCCGCTATTTCATTTATTCATTCCTGAAATAATTATTGAGCCACCTGTATGTGCCAGGGGCCCCTATAATCTTAGTTATCACAGTCATCATTATAATCATCAATTAGTTTACTGGTCAAGTATAAGCAGTAAAGAATTCTAGTTCAAGCATTTACAATAGTTAAAAATAACAGAGGCATAATTCTTAGTGGTTCCCTAAGGCAAGTATTGTAACACTATTGTTACCCTATTTTTTGAAGTATAAACCCTGTACACTTGCTTTATACTTAATGTTTAAAAAGTAACCAGGTTTTGAGACCTTAGGCATATTATAGTTAAAATTTGTAACGTTTTATCTGAATAACTATAGTAATGAAGTAATTCTCTAGTAAATCAGTAAAATTGCTATTGTCAGTACTGGAGTATAGGCATATTTTAAAATCTTGTTGGGTATGTAAATTAGTTTATAAGTTTAGTAAAGACTTTTTAGTATGAATCTAAAGATGTAGAATTTGTGTACATACATTAATATACAGGTAACTCTAAAGTGTATGTGTTTGTCTAACAGGCGCTTACAGCTTTTAGATGGGGAATATGAAGTAGCCATGCAGGAAATGGAAGAATGTCCTATAAGCAAGAAAAGAGCAACATGGGAAACTATTCTTGATGGGAAGGTATGGATTACTTAGAAGGTTGAGCATGTTATAATTATGAACTCCCATTTTTGAGTGATGTTTTCTTCCCCAAATGCAAATTTATGTGGAAGTAAAGAGTCTTTCATTTCTGTACTTTGAAAAACGTAAGTAAAAATGATGTAGTCAGAGCATTTAATGGAAGACATCATCCTTGGAACCAGACTACCTGAGTTCATATCTCGGCTCCATCACTTACTTGCTAATGTGGTGTTTGGCAGTTTAGTAACTTTATGTCTCATTTTTCTCATGTATAAAATGAGGCATAAAATTGATAGGTTAAATGAGATAATAAAATATGCTTAGCAGCATGCTTGGCATAAAATAAGTGCTCAGTAAATGTTAACTGCTGTTATTTTAAGTCCTAGTCACAATAGCAGCAGGTAACATGATGACTAGTAATCTGCAGAACTTAGATGAAGCATACTTAAAATAACTCTTCTAAGAGAAGAGAGTAAATAGATATCCATATATTTTCTTGGATAGGAAAACTCAACAAAATAAAGATGTCAGTTACTTCTAAATTTATCAGGTCAATGTACTCACAAACAAATTCCTAATTTCTTTGAGCCTTAAAATTAGTTTCAAGTTAACCTAGAAGAATAAGTATGTAACGATACTGCAGAGATGTATACTGAGGAGAGCCTTGACTAACAGATAGTAGAATCTACTATCAGCTAAAAGAATTAAAACTATGTTATGAGTGTAGGAATAAACAAGCAGATAACTGATGTATAGTCCTGAAATAGTTGCATGTGTATTGGGAATTTAGTTCATGATAAATGTGATGTTACAGATCTGTGTATGGGAATGATGGATTATTCATTAAGAATTTTGACAGAGCTGTTCTCTAGCCATCTGGAAATAAACTGAGACCTAATAAATTGGAGAATGCTTAGAAACAAATGTTAAAATTAACACAACATAACTTCAGAAAAAATGTAGATGAATATTAATACACTCTTGTGGGGAGGAATGCCCTTCTAAGTATCATACAGAAGGTAAATGCATAAAGCAAAAAATTGACTAAAGTAAATCATTTCTATGTTGCAAAAAATCTAAAGATAAAAAGAGAAATGATGAACTGGGGGAAAATATTTGCAATGCAGAAAAGGCTAATATGAATACAGTTTTTAAAATGTATATTAAAAAAAGCAATCCAGTAGGAAAAATGGATAAAGGACAATCGGGCAGTTCTTAAAAAGAAGAAATATAGATGGCTAGTAAAAATTTTAAAAGTTCAACCTTATTAGTATTCAGAAACATGCAAAAAAAATCAGATGTAATATTTTTGACTACTAGTTTGATGAAGATTAAAAGGATTGACAGTTTCTGGTGGTGGTGGGGATGTTAGTACCCATTACTCTAAAATAATGCTTTGATGTAAGAAAAGTTGGTGCAGTCTTACTGGAGGGAATACTAACTATGTATAAAAATTAAAATTGTATATATAGTCTTTAATAATAACTCAGAATTTTGTCAAAAAGTAGTAACTGGTTAAGTGAAAAGATGGAGGTAGTAGCTCTTCTCGGCATTTTTTAAATAGTGAAAAATTGGAAACAAGTTAAATCTAAACGGATAGCCCTTAAAAAGTATGATTATGATAGTTGGAAAAGAACATTTCCATGATATTTAAATTTTAATAATAGTGTGCATAATCTCATTTTTATAGAATTAATACAATAATATCTCCCTAGGTGATGGAATTTCATAGAATTTTTATTTCTTCATACTTATCTATAGTGTTTGCATTATCTACAGACATTTATCTTCATTAATCTTTTTGCTTTAAATTTCTTAAAGTATGTCAGGTTTGTCCATGAGAAAATAAGGATTATATATAAGATTTTAAAATAAATTGTTTGCAGCAAAATAAAATAGACATCCTTCCAACTCAGGACATACAGATTTACCTCTTTTTAAAAGCTCTGTGGTATTAAACTAAATGTCCCATAGTTTACTAAACCAACCCCATTCTAATGGATAGTTAGGTTATTTTAATTTTTTACATTTGCAGAAATGCTGTAGTTAATATACTTGTATGTGTATATTTCTGCATTATGAGTATTTTTATAAGCTAGACTCCTGGATATGGACTTGCTGTGTCAAAACCAGTTTATATGATCACACATTTACCTTGTTCCGGTCTAAAATTACAATTTTAAAAGGATTATTTGTAATGAAGATGTAGCAGTTCAGTCTTGTATGGCAGTTTAAAAAGAAATAGGAACCCACTGAAGGTTTCTACGAAAGAGAATGACATGAAGAACGTCTACGAGAAGATTATTTGGTCTCCTGTATATGGAAGTGATAAAAAGCAGGAAGAGCAGCTGAGATACAGTAATGATAAGGCAATAAGGATCTATACTATTGCTGTGATTATTGAAGGGAGAGGTAGAAATAATAGACATTTCAGAAAGGACTTCGTGATGAGAAATAAAGAATAGGGGTCAAATGTGATTCCAGTTTTTTTAGTTTAGGATTACTCGTGGAATGATAATTCTAAAAAAAATAATTGTATCTGGGATGGAAAGTTTATTTTAGAAGATAATAGATTCACTTCTAAAGATACTCGGGTCCAAGTGACAATGTCCAAGAAACAATCAGAGATACGAGTTTGGAGCTCAAGTATAAAGATAAGAATGGAGGACCAATTTGTCGTCATTATCTGAAGGTAGAACCTTGAGGATGAGTGACAGATGGGGGCAGATGGCTAAAAGTTAGCTAGGAATTGAGACCACGAGAAGAGTTGTCTTATAAATAATTAGAGGTGGACACGGAAAAGCAAAAGATAGTTCAGTCTGCCAAAACCAAAGAAAAGCAAGAATAGTCATTGTCAATGCAGCTGAGGGAAGTCAGGGAAAATTACTAATTGCCAAAGCTGTTCAGTTTACAGAAGGAAAAGTAATTGGTCACTTAAGAGCAGAGGTTCCAAACTGGCAGGATTTGAGTACCACAGGTTTTTAAAAGACTTTTTGAATTGGTTACTAAACACTGCCATAGAGTATTCCGACTCATAGCGACCCTATATGACAGAGTAGAACTGCTCCCCGATAGGATTCCCCAAGCTGTAAATCTTTATGGAAGCAGACTGCCACATCTTTCTCCTGCAGAACAGCTGGTGGGTTGGAACCACTCACCTTTGGTTAGCAGCTGAGTGCTTTAACCACTGCACCACCAGGGCTCCTCCTTGAATTGGTTACCCATGTTTAAAAATGGGAAGATTTCCCATGTAAACTTGGGAGTTCTGACTTCTTTTGAAAAAATCTGAATATCTGGCTGTACTGGGCCAGTATTTACACGGCAGCAATTCGGCTATTGCTAGTAAGTTGCTGCCCCTTTTAGACAGCCTAAATTCTCCATTTCTACAGTGTCTGCTGCTCCATACATTCACTTTACTTGCTTGGCTATCACTGCAGGCATTTGAGTTTTCAATGAAAGTCTCTTTGATTTGACATCTCATAATAAATAGTAGCTTTTAAATCCCTCTAATTTCAATTTATTGTGTGATTGTGCACTCTTTTCATGTTTTTTTTCCTTTTCAGAGGCTGCCTCCATTTGAAACATTTTCTCAGGGACCTACGTTGCAGTTTACTCTTCGCTGGACAGGAGAGACCAATGATAAATCTACAGCTCCTATTGCCAAGCCTCTTGCCACTAGAAATTCAGAGAGTCTCCATCAAGAAAACAAGCCTGGTTCAGTTAAACCTACTCAAACTATTGGTAAGTAAACATCTTTTTATCAAAGTAAAGGTTTGTGGAGTTAGGACTTACATCATTCTTTTTCTTCATGTAAATTATTCTTTGGGAAATAATATTTTACTTATTAGACAGATTATGAATAAATTAGAGTTCTTTTATATTAAATGTTAAGTTTTGTGTTGAAGTCCTGATTGATGATCCCTTATTCTAAACCCTTGTGCTAAATGTGTGTGGCAGTATCTAATTTTCTTTAGAAATATAATATGCTGTATAGTATATATGCCATATATAACACCTCCAAGTAGGATCTATAGGTAGCTTCATATTAATTCAGGAGAAGTTTTTCCATTAAATAAATTTGCTGGAAACTCATGAAAAATCTCTTGGTTTTCAGAGCTTTTTTAGGTTTTGGAATTGCAAATATAAAGGGTTTGGTGGAACTATACTTTTTGTAATTCACAGAAAAAGTTGTATATGTTGTAGCACTGAATTCAGTATTTCAGACTATTTTTTAAATTTTAGGGCTAGAAGAGAATCATTGTAATCTGGATTTTATCAGGTTAAATTTTACAGTAAATACTATGTATTTTAAGAGGAAAGCTCTCTCATGAGTTAAGGCCCAAGATGCAGTGTTCTGTCATTTTGTATCTGCCTGATAAGGAACACTGTCCTTGACCTGAGAGCATCTGAACTGTTTTATCCAAGTCTGTGTAAAGAAGGCAGAAAGCTTAAGACAGCTGTCTTTGACACTGACCACTCGTGTCCGTTCACTGTATGCAAGTCACTGTAATGGTCAGATTAAAGAGATAGAAGACATGGCCCACATCAGGGAAAAGATTTCCCAAATAAATTATAGTACAGGCATGTCTCAAAATACTCTGTAGCCACTCAGATAGATAAAATAATTGTTACAATGTAAAAAAGTACTTATGATATGCTAAAAAAAAGTTTTGTATAAAACTGTGTATATGGAATAGTTATGTCAGGAAAAATATTCTTTTTTTCTTAAGCCTAAAAGGAAATATTCCAAAATTATTTTCAGTGATTATCTTTTGGATTTGGAGTAATTTTTATACAATCAGTTTTTACCTAGTTTCTGTTAGACCAACATATAGTGAGTGCCTGCTCACTATTGGGCACTGGAAATATGAAGACCGATCACAACTACACACTGGCCTTCTGAGTGCTTAAAACTTAGTATAGTGACCACGTATAATTACTTGGGTTACTATTACAATGGATTACGACAAAGGAAGTGGTTTTTAAAGGGAAAAAATGCATCCTGCCAATAAAGACTTTTAACATCTAATTAGGGGTGCTGGTTAAGGGAATTATTGTTTCTGTGATCATCAGTTGTGGTATGCATAATTATGTTATACACTATAGTTAGAATTCTGTGAAACCTTCAGTGTTTAATCATTTTGGTAAGATATTTAACTATAAAAGCAAATATTTTCATTAAATATAAAGACATGTATTTTCAGCTGTTAAAGAATCACTGACTACAGATCTACAAACAAGAAAAGAAAAAGATACTTCAAATGAAAACCGACAAAAATTAAGAATATTTTATCAGGTAAACATAGCTGACCCTTCTTTTTTAAGTAATCATGAAAATGTATTTGTTTTTATGTTAGAGCTGAACTATTTTGGCACATTAAATAAAAAGTATGTAACTTAATTTTCCTTTTAGATTGTTTCTCTTTTAAATTATTTTACAGATGAGATTGAAACATATTTTGAAATGTGAAACTTGGGAGTTTGCTGTGTTTTTTTTTTTTCTTCCCAGTTCCTTTATAACAACAATACAAGACAACAAACTGAAGCAAGAGATGACCTGCATTGCCCTTGGTGCACCCTGAACTGTCGTAAACTTTATAGCTTACTCAAGCATCTTAAACTCTGCCATAGCAGATTTATCTTCAATTATGTTGTGAGTAACTTTTCACTTTTTTTCTTACCAGTAAAATAAATATAAGAAAACCTAACTTTAAAAAGTTATCCTTTGTGAAAAAGTACCAAGACATTTGCTGTTGAAGGATAGCTATATACATTGATTACAATGAATGATTCATTTTTACATATATTTGGAATAATCATTAACATTTTTGCATACTGCACGTGTATTGACTCACATTATCCTCACACAATTATTTTTGAATTAAGGGGTATTTTCCTCATTCTTGGTCAGATAAGAAATAATTTGTGTAAAGTTATCAAGCTAATAAATGGCACAGCCAGGATTTCATACAAGTCTTGATTCTAGGTCTGTCCCTTTCTGTTCACCATGCTGATGTCCCTGGCCTGTTTTAGGCTTCAAATTTAAGAACCCACAAATACTTTTTAATTAACTAAATTGGAGAATAGGTATTTAGTGTAGGATAATTTTTTCTTTCCTAAACACCTTGCCATTTTTGTTACAGTATCATCCAAAAGGTGCTAGGATAGATGTTTCTATCAATGAGTGTTACGATGGCTCCTATGCAGGAAATCCTCAGGATATTCATCGCCAGCCTGGATTTGCCTTTAGTCGAAATGGACCAGTAAAGAGAACTCCTATCACACACATACTTGTGTGCAGGTAGGTAAAAAAAAGGCCATACAACAAAAGTTTATTCCCTGACTCCTTGTTGATGATGTTGGAGGAATCAGAAAGGAGCCAGACATGGCTACTGTTCAGGTGGAAATCACCAGTGCAACATTATTTCAGTACTAGCTAAGTGTCTGGGGGTGGCTTTATCCTTTGTAACCCTCCCCAGCCGTTATTTACATAGGGGCTTTCTTACCTCCTCCTCACAGCTTTTCCCTGTATTTTAGCTGTTAATGTTGCACTGCTGCATTGGTTAGTGGGATTAAAGACTCCTTCAGTGGAAGTTGCTGTGTGTTTATACCTAGGTAGGCACCTGCAAAAGGATGGACTCTGCTTGGGTGGTGTGAAACATAAAGAAGCCTGCATGATAGTATCCAGCTAGGCAGTACCTGGGACTGGTTTTCCTTCCGTTAGGCTTTAGAGTTACCATGGTACATTCATGGCAGCAGGTTGGCTACTGAGATTAAAGTTAACCAAAAGGAATTTTTTATTTCTGTAAAACTAGTTAAAAAAAAAAAAAAAATTCCCAAAGAGTTGTGTAATAATCTGTAATAACACTGTATAATCAGTGTTGTGGTTTTTCTGCTTTGTGAATATACCTAAATGTGTTAGTATACATATTCTCATTTTATTTTTCTGTGACTTAACTAGCCTTTCTTCCTTTTTAATCATGTTTCTCTTTTTTCTAGGTTTATTTTTCAAACCCAGAAAGACAAGTTTATCTTTAATATTTTGGTGTTTAAATTGATACATAATGGGTCTGCTTCACATTATGTACAGAAAGAAAATAATCTTTGTTACTATTTTTGTTTTTTGGGGACTGCCTCAAATAGAGTTGATTTGTGGTCAGTTTTATAAAATGGTAGTATTGTCAAATTTTTACAGCCCTCAATTCTAAGTCATGTAATTACATGATGTAGATAGCATATTATATCAACATTTATTTCTTTTCATTAGGCCAAAACGAACAAAAGCAAGCATGTCTGAATTTCTTGAATCTGAAGATGGTGAAGTGGAACAGCAACGAACATATAGTAGTGGACACAATCGTCTGTATTTCCATAGTGATACCTGCTTACCTCTCCGTCCACAAGAAATGGAAGTAGATAGTGAAGATGAAAAAGATCCTGAATGGCTAAGAGAAAAAACCATTACAGTAATTATTATCATTCCTAGCAATGATCTTAGAATTTTATAGTTAAATGAATTTTGAAAACTATTAGCAGTTTAATATGAATTAGACTTACGACTTAAAGGAACTTTTGCTAAACTAAGGAATTCAGGAATCCACACGTTTCATAACTGCCATTTAAAAGGTTGCCGTCTAAAGGAAAAACAGATTTTCTTAGTGTGACTTTGTATTGTGTATTTTCATATGTACATTTATAGGAAACTATTTCATAGCTTAAATGGAAGTTTAAGAAATGTTGACTTTTATATAAAGAAGTGGTATTTTTGTTGCAAAACATTCTATTTTTTACATTCTCACAAATTTTTTCCTAGAAATACCAGTTGTATTCATTCTGTATTTAATAGGTTTTTTCTTTTTTTCTTTTAGCAAATTGAAGAATTTTCCGACGTTAATGAAGGAGAGAAAGAAGTGATGAAATTATGGAATCTCCATGTCATGAAGCATGGGTAGGGTATTTCTAAATTAAATATTCTGTTTACCTTATACTCTTGATGCTTCACATTCTATTAATGTATGTCAGAATCTTATTAAAAATTCCATTAATTTAGGTATGTGTCCTACATCTTATCCGAGTCCAAAGTATTATAACTGCATGTATAGGAAAATGGTGATGTTCAAAGAATGGATATCATTCCATCTAACAGCAGATTTTTATTTTTAATTTCTCTAAAACAGGCCCAAAGTTTTTCTTTCAATATTTACATTAAAAAAAAACTTTAATGTTATCATCAACTGAATTTAACCTTTTCACTTATTGTGACTTAATAATGTAAAGGCAGAATAACTTCTAAAAGCTCATTAAATTAAAATTCCTCTGTACATTTTTTTAAATTATGCAGTTTTCATTCCTTTTATTGCCAGGGGATACTAAAATGATAAGCTGTGTGCTACTTGCCTGGAAATCCTGAAAATCACTTACCACAGCTACTACTACACTTTTTTTTTTACAATTGCTTACAGAATAAAATATAAATAGCCTTTCTGATTTCTCATTTGTTACCATTTCAAAGTAGAACAATTCTTATAACTTCTCATGAATTTGTGACTCCTTCCCTGTATTAATATACATAGTTTTGTTCTCTACCTGCCTTCTTTATTTAGAACCTTAAGGATTTTTCTGTAGCACAAGCATCCAAGGTTTTTTCATTTAAGACCATTGAGATAATCAGGAAGAGGGTACTTTCTATACTCTTGGGGAGTGAAGAGGAGTTGGTGTATAAGTTCTAGTGCAGGTGTCTGGGTGCATGGCCCATAACCTGTTTTTGTACTGCCCTTGAGCCAAGAATGGCTTTTATATTTTTCAAGTGGTGTTTGAAAAAAGTTGGAGATCGCATGTGGCCCACACAGCTGAAAATATTTACTATCTGACCCTTTAGAGAAAAAGTTTGCCTAATCTCTGTTTTAGTCATTAAAACTCAAGTTATGAGTAAAGTATATATATGGAACCTTGGGTTATATCTGTTTTTCCTATTGTCCTGATAGGCTAGTTTCAAGATGTAATTTTAGTCAAATTATTCACTTCTGTTTTAGTCTGTTGCATAGCAGCTATTGGGGTTCATTATATAGTGACAGGTAGTTAGGTAAACTAATTAGATTTTCTTTAGATCTGCAGGCAGGCCTTAAGACTCTATGTTGGACTCTCAGTTTCAGTGGTAACTTAGCAGTTATTCTCGCCTGTTTGGTTTCAGTTGGTAGTCAGTTTATTCACTGTTCATGTACCCCACCCCACCTCCCATTGGCTTTCCATCGACACAGCCACACTATACCATCCCTTGGTGTGACACCGTTATTTTTTCAGATGTTTGCCATGAATTGAATATGTAGAGAAGCACTGCTGCTTTAACGGGAAAGTATGGCAAGATCAAGGGAGAGAATAAAAGAGAATTGTTAGTGTGTATATAGAAAGTGTTAATGGAAGTGGTATGGCAGGAGAAAATATTTTATACTTTTAAGATTGCTGTTTATAATTTCATTAGCAAAAACAAATTACATCTACTATTCTAATGGCAAGGAACCCTGGTGGTACAATGGTTAAGCACTTGGGTATTAACTGAAAGGTTGGCGGTTCAGATCCAACCAGCGGCTCTGTGGGAGAAAGACCTGGCAATCTGCTTCCATAAAGATTACAGCCAAGAAAACCCCGTGGGGCAGTTCTAGTCTGTGACAGGGGGTCAGTATGAGTCGGAATCACCTTGAAGGTACCCAACAACAGCAGCATTCTAATGGCACCTGGCTAAGCTCTGGTTAGATTAAATCTCTTTAAATTTCTAAAATGGTAAGCTCATTCACAATTTCACTATAGTTTTGCTACTTGTTATATCATCACTTACTAGATTTGGGTGTAGTCTTACTGTTCTGCAATGGTTATCACTATTGCATTTGAAAAAAATACTTTGCATCACTGTTGTTTTTTTTTTATTAAATAGGTTTATTGCTGACAATCAAATGAATCATGCTTGTATGCTGTTTGTAGAAAATTATGGACAGAAAATAATTAAGAAGAATTTATGTCGAAACTTCATGCTTCATCTAGTCAGCATGCATGACTTTAATCTTATTAGCATAATGTCAATAGATAAAGCTGTTACCAAGCTCCGTGAAATGCAGCAAAAATTAGAAAAAGGAGAATCTGCTTCCCCTGCAAATGAAGAAATTAGTGAAGAACAAAATGGGACAGCAAATGGATTTAGTGAAATTAACTCAAAAGAGAAAGCTTTGGAAACAGATGGTGTCTCAGGGGTTTTAAAACAGAGCAAAAAACAAAAACTCTGAAAAGGCCTGACCCCATATTATGGACAAACACTGAAATTGCATTCTGGGGAATTCAACCTCTAGAAAGAAGACTGTTTTTTTGTTTTTAATCATAGGTTCCAAACAGGCACTGTAGATGAAGTAAATGATTTCAACAAGGCTATTTCTATCAGGGTTCTTCTTCACTTCATTATGCAAGCATTACATGTCTATCGGTTTTACTGATGTCATTACAATATTCTCTAGTTTGAGCATGGAAAGCAGTACTTCAGAGAGAGCTTTTTTTAACTTCCAACAATTGTCTTATGAAATATATTGAATTGATAATCTAGAAATTATTTCATATAGTTAAATTATAATGTTCTTTGCATTTGTGACTGGCTGTTTTTCTACTTTGTGAGACATTTTCTTGGGGAAGGAAAATTGAATGCAATTCCCTTTTTAAAAAATTGAAAAATTTTATGAAATTATGTTGGATTACTATTTGCAGTCAAACCTTGATCCCTGATTTTGAAATCATTTAACAATTTGGAATGAAAAATTAAAATGTTAGATTATTTTACATTAAATAAGTTCATTTTACAATTTTAAAATAGCACTTCTTCGTCTTAGGCCTGTTTGAGATGTTAATTTTTCCACATTGTTGACAGTGAAATGCCATATTGGTTTATATAGTTACTGACCATTTGTTTTTATGTGGATAATTTTAGTGTATTGCTCACCCAGTATATTCTTTTAAACTTGAACGTTTTGCTGTTTCTGGTTTTTCTTTTTCAGTTAGGTAATCACATGATAAACTCAGCTGTCCACATCTTTTCATTAGGATGTAAACCAAGAGAAGAATGAGTTTGAGATTTTTAAGATGCCACTTTCAAGGGGGAAATGTTATGCCTTCCCCTCCTTTTTTGGCAGAGATGTCTTTGTAAATGTATTTCATGATTAGAATATCCAATACAGATAAGCTGACTTGAATCGTTTTGAGCAATTTTGCCCTGTGTTATATGTGTTTTATGCACATATTTGCAGTTGGATTTTCTCCAACAGAAAGTGGTTTCACTACTGGCACATTAACAAGCACCAATAGGTTTTTATTCCAACTCCAAGCACTGTGGTTGAGTAACATCACCTCAATTTTTTATTATCCTTAAAGATATTGCATTTTCATATTCTTTATTTATAAAGGATCAATGCTGCTGTAAATACAGGTATTTTTAATTTTTTAATTTCATTCCACCACCATCAGATGCAGTTCCCTATTTTGTTTAATGAAGGGATATATAAGCTTTCTAATGGTGTCTTCAGAAATTTATAAAATGTAAATACTGATTGGTGTTTAAGATGTGTTTAACTGTGAGACTATTTAACTAATAATGTGGATGTGATTTGTCATCCAGTATTAAGTTCTTAGTCATTGATTTTTGTGTTAAAAAATAGGGAAGAGGGAAACTGCAGCTTTCATTACAGACTCCTTAATTTGGTAAGCTCTCCAAATGATGAGTTACAGTAAACTCTGATTATGCCTCTGGATAGTGGATCTCAAGCATTTCTCTCGGGCTTTAATTTGCTAAAGCTGTGCACATATTGTAAAAAAAAAAAAAAAAAAAAAATATTTTAGGGGAGACGTAGGTGTAGAATTATTGCTTATGTCATTTCTTAAGCAGTTATGCTCTTAATGCTTAAAAGAAGGCTAGCATTGTTTGCACAAAAAGTTGGTGATTCCCTCCCCCAAATAGTAATGAAATTACTTTTGTTGAGTAAACTTTTTATGTCATCTTATAATAAAAGCTGAAAAAAAACCCTTTGTTTCTATTTATAAAAAAAATGCTTTTCTATATGTACCCTTGATAAGAGATTTTGAAGAAATCATGTAAGATGATAAAACATTTGAATGGTACAATAGATGTAAAAAAAAATTCAGTTTAAAAGAACGTTTGTTTTTACATTAAATGTTTATTTGAAATCAAATGATTTTGTACATAAAGTTCAATAATATAAAAGATGTATTGTTTTGTTTTGTTTTGTTATGCATTGTTAATGTGTGCATTAAATATTTCACTTGGCTAGCAGAATCAGGATCCAGAAAAAGTACACAAAATAATGGATCCTAGCTAGTAAGAAATGGAGAAAAAATGAATGTGAAATCATGCCTTCAATTCTAGTAACATCAATTGCAACTAGTATTTTATGAGATTTACATAAGTGGAAAATGAGTTAGAGAAATTTGTCATCAAGAGTATGTGAAAGATGAGGCCATAGCAAGAGGTAGACAGGTCAAAGGAAGAATTCAGGGAATTCTTGAATAGGAAGTTTGAACATGATTGTAGGCTGACAGGAGGAGATGTATAGAATACGCACAACTAATATATACCTGTATTTGCTTGGGCTTTTGTAGACTATCCCTAAAGTGATACACAGAAACAACTGCTTTCAGGGAAGAAAGCTGGATTTAAAGGACAGGTGTGGGAAGTAGACTTTTCACTGTGCCATTTTTGAAACATCTGAATGTACTGCCTATTATTTTTATATTTCCAATATTTAAAACTTAAAAAATGGAGAGGGGGAGTTAGAGGAGGATTGCTTTTCCCACTGAGATCCAGGTAGAATGGGTAAGTGCCTAACACAGGACTTGTAACATGTAGGAACATGGTAACCCTGGTGTCGTAGTGGTTAAGAGCTATGGCTGCTAACCAAAAGGTCAGCAGTTCAAATCACCAGGCGCTCCTTGAAAACCCTATGGGGCAGTTCTACCCTGTCTTATAGGGTCACTATGAGTCGGAATCGACTTGATGGCAGTGGGTTTGGTTTTTTGGTTTTAAAGAAGTTCACTGCCAAAAAGAGTTCCTAAAACATTCAATTTAAATTTTCTACTTGCTAAAGTAATCTAAAGGTACACTGCTCCTAGAAAAGTAGAAATATGTGAGGATTTATTACACTGACTACCATATTAAAGCAGTGTTCTTTAATGGTTCCCCCTTGTTGACACAGTAAAAAGATCATGCTCTTCCTCCCGATTAACCTTGTCTGTCTATCCAGTCTTTTTTTCACTGTATGTAGTCTCCCCTCCCAAGTGAATCACCAGGGCACACCACGCTCTCTGATACTCTTCGTGGGTAGCCTAAGACCAGTTTCTGGAGCATCTTAACACTTCTATGTACTACTTCCTACAAGTGTACTGCTGATTTTCATATAGGGATAAAAATTCACTCAAGTAAATTATTAAAAGTAAAAGATTGTTAATTAAATGTCCAGTGGGATGAATCACTTTATAAAGCTAGTTCTAGAGAACAGGGTTGTTATCTTTGGGCTACCCTATTAGTCTTCCCATTTCTGACAACCACCCTACCCACATGGCAGGGCTTCAACCAGGCGCCATCTGCAGGTGCTCCATCTCCTGGAATCATATTTGTGTCCAAGCTATTACTCTGTACTTTATCCAGAACCTAAATAGCTTTCTACCTGCTCTTCTAGCATGCTACCACTAGCATCCATTCTTTCGACTACTGAATATCTCTGTGCCAGCACTTGTACCAAGCACTGGGATTGGGAATTCAAGTAAGACTCATACTCTCCCAGGACTCAGATCAAAACTGCAGTCACTATTTCTTCTGTCTCTTGTCCCCAAATAAACATATTCCTTTGGTAATTTACTGCTTGTTACTCCAGGGAAAAGGTGAGGCTATACATGTATCAGAAATCCTAAAGGCTTTTTATAATTTGACATTTAAGTTTATGAATCACTTAGCACAGTACCTAGAATGTAACAGGGATCCAATAAATATTAGCTCGTTTACTAATCCTTGGAGCCCCAGTGGCTCAGCGGTTAAGAGCTTGCCTGCTAATCAAAAGGTCGGCAGTTCAAATCCATCACGCCTTCCTTGGAAACCCTATGGGGCGGTTCTACCCCGTCCTATAGGGTTGCTATGACTTGGAATCGACTCAATGGCAATGGGTTTTGTTGTTGTTACTGATCCAACTAGGATTTTCTGAGTGAGTTCTAAATTATCCTTATTTGTCTTACTTGGGGGACTGACTCTTAAGTGAGGTCTTGCAGTGGAAGGACTGTGGTTGCCATGTGGATAAGCACAGAAAGCTTTATTTTTATTCAATAAATACATACTGAGCACCTACTATGGCCTATGCATTAGCTAAGCACAGGGAATACAATGATGAATAAACCAGACATCGTACCTGTCCTTGTGAATCTTAAATTTTAGAGATTCACTTGCATTTTAGTAAACCATGTTTCAAAGTATCTAATCTCAAACTAGTGTCCTGAATTTAGGGCAGTGTGGTGGGAGAATTATGGGCTTTAGAGTTGACTGGCTTGGATGTGAACCCCAACTTTGGTGATTTTGTGGCTTTATGACTGTTAGGAATCCTGTTACTTAACTACACTGAGTTTGTGTCCTCATTGCAAAATGGGATTAAAATACCTCCCTCAAGGTCTTTCTAAGGATTAAATTACAGAGTTGCTATGGGTTGGAATTGACTCAGTGGCAACACAACAAGGATTAAATGAACAAAAATTACCTAGTACAGTAACTAGCTCTTGAATAGCATCACTATTTTCTTTCTGTCACCCAAACAGTCTTGTCTATTTACTTCTGTTTCCACCTAAGAAGAAAAAAATCACATGCTAACAAGCTTGCTCCTTCTTCCCCCAAGCTACTTTAAGAACGTATAATGCTTTTTAGATTATATTAACAGTCTCATTCTCCCGTAAAACTACAACTGTTCTAACACTGCTTTATGTATGTAAGATTAACACATAGAAGGGGCATAGAGAGGCCAAGATTGTTTTAATCAACATTAAATATGGGACAAAATAGAGGGATTAGTTTTATTTTCCTAAAATTTTTTGTTTTTAAAGAAGAAAAGTACTAGTCTTATTTCAAAAGAATTTATTAAATGTCCAAATATCAGGAAATGTCGCAGACTTTGGGATTTCACAGACCAGTCATCTACTTAAAAATTTTTTGACTTATTTTGTCATACGAGGACATTGACAAACAAAATAAGCAAACCTACCATCTACTATCACTTTCATTTTATAGAAGGACAGAACCCTCCCCGCCCCCCCAAAAAAAAGGCAAGGAAGATAAGTTTAGACTAAAGGATAGTAGTCATCTAAGCAATAACTTAAAATTTACAACAACAACAAAATCACTCTGGAGACCCACTTTTAGTTGTTTTGCAGCAGTTATTCCCAAATCTGCTTGCACAACAGAATCATCTAGTTTTGTTAAAACAAAACCTGAGCTCTACGTGTTGTCGTTAGGTGCTGTTGAGTCAGTTCTCACTCAAAGTGACCCTATGTACAAAAGAACAAAACATTGCCTAGTCCTGTGCCATCCTAAGACCAATTAAATCAGAACCTTTGGTATTGTCTAAAACTCTCCAGGTGATTCTATGTACAGCTAGGGTTCAGAACAACTGCTGTAGAAGATACCAAACCTCAAGGAATTTATAATCTTCGTGGGTTTAAAGAAGATGGCACAAACTCAAATACCTAGTTAAATGAGTTAACTAGCTGAGTATTATACCAACTTAGGAAGACTGAAAACAAAGATAACACAGGCTTCCAAAGAGAAAACACGTAACAAAAGAACCAGAATCAGAATGGCATCAGACTTTTCAACACCAGAAGCTAGAAAACAATGAATCAATGCATTCTAATTCTAAGGGAAAATTATCTCCAACATAGAATTCTGAACCAGCCACTATCAATCAAGCATAGGATAAAGATTTTTTAGACTTTCTAGTTGTCAAAATATTTACCTCTTGGGCACCCTTGCCAGAAGTGGAGGAAGTGCTCCACTAAAAAAAGGGAATAATCCAAGAAAGGGGAAGCCATGGAATATTGAAAATAAAAGATTCAAAACTGTATTATACATTGTGGCACAGATTGATTTACACGTGTGGGTAGGTTTGGACCAGTTTACAGCATAACTAAATGAGTGTGTTGCTGTCAATAATAGCTGTTAAAATAGTTTGTTGATCCTCAGTAAGATACTAGCAAACAAAATCCAACAGGATATTAAAAGGATTATACATCATGATCAGTTGAAATTTATCCCAGGAATACAAGGGTGGTTCAACATTAGAAAATAAGTAAATGTAATACACCACATTAACAGAATGAAGAGGGGAAAAAACCATACAATCATTTCAATAGAGCAGAAAAATAATTTTACAAAATTTCTAGCTTTTATGATAAAAACAGCTAGACACAGAAGGGAACTTCTAACTTAATAAACTTAACTAAGGGGTAAAATACTTCTACATTGAAAACTACAAAACACTGCTGAAAGAAATTAAAGATGACTTAAGTAAATGGGAAGGCATCCTGTGTTTACGGATATGAAGACAATATTGTTATGACAGCAAAAGTCCAACAGCCTTTTTTGCAGAAACGGAAAGTCAATCCTCAAAATTCATATGGAATTGGCTGAACAGCTAAAACAATACTGAAAAAGAAAAAGTTGGAAGACTCACATTTCCCAATTTCAAACATATTACAAAGCTACAGGTATCAAAGCAGCACGGTACTGACATAAAGATAAACATACAGACCAATGGAATAAAACTGACAGTCTAGAAATAAACCCATACATCTA